TTGATGTAATGAGTGTTAATGATGATTTTTTTTTATTTAAAAAAATATTTAAAAAATTGAATTTATATCGGTATCGGTTAAAATATCGGCTGATTAATTTTATGAAAATCGGTTTATCGGAATATTTAGAAAAACCCGTATCGGTACAACTCTAGTAATTATACTAATAATACACTCACCACTGATGTATCAGTAAAATTAAGAATATATACATTGTTACTGACTCCATTACCAGTGTCACCTCCAAATAATATAGCACTGGAATTATTAATTGATGTTAAAGTAAAGCGATCAATAGGAGGTGGTCTGTCTCCAGTGACAGTCGGTGATATCCATTGTCCTAAAAATATCAATAATAATAATTAGTGTGAATGGAATGCATTGGGTGGAGCAAACTAGATGATATAGTGCTGGGCGATAGTATCGATATATGCGATGGTCGCGATAGTAATCTACTATCACTATCGTGATAGTTGAATCAACACTATCACAATTGACATGTGGTACATGTACGCATGCGCATTATCAAACACGTGGTTACTTTAATGAGTTAGTTTAGCTGTGAAAATGGAAGATGTTATCATTAGTAGCGGTACTGCTCCAAAAAGAAACAGAAATATTGCCTTTACCTGGTGCTACTAGTGTTGCATGGAAGTATTTTAGTTTTCCTGCTGTTGACGGTAAAATTTCTGAGTGCTTGAATAATCTCCAAAAGGCTCATGCAGAAATTTCAAGATATTAGAGCCTATTAGCTACTAGATATATAATCCTTTGGCATGGTGGAACACAAATTTCTTTTGTTATCTATTATTAGCTAGGAAATATTTATGTATACCGGCGGCATCTGCTCCCTCTGAATGTGTATTTATAGTACTGCTGGGAATGTAGGTACTGAAAAAAAGCTTGTCTACATCCAGAAAATGTTCTTCTAGCTGAAAACCTCAAATATTCATCTACCTTTCATCCTTTTGCCTATTTTGTTACATTAAATAAATATATTAAAATAATTGTTAATATCGTGATAGTATCACTATCGTTAAAATTTTAAGAACTATCAATCGTGATATGATAGTAGCACTATCGCCCAGCACTACTAGATGATATTTCTTTGATCATATTATCAAATAATTAGGAGTGACAACCATGAACAAACAAGCAAGCAATTCTCAATGCAACCAGTCTGAGTGGAGAACCACCAAATAACAATACTTCATTATATTAATATAAACTGTATGTGCTCTGACCTGTTGAGAGTTTATAGAAATGGATCTCATTGCATTTTTGAAGAATAGAAAGATATTTACTGTACTGGGCACCAGGTTGTTTGGGTTTATTATTAGAAGATGGTCCAACTCCTCCAATTACTACAAGACAGTCCTCACCGTTCATTTTTATTGCTATCATGTCACAGTAGGCCTTCATCATAGGACCATGATGAGATGTAGTAGAAGAGAGTTCCTTCCAATTAAAGGTATCAACATTAAAACTGTATAAAATGATACATAATATTTATCAGTGACTATCATATTTACCTGTATAAACTATTATGACAACAATTATCATGATTACAATGGCCTCCAAAATAAAATATTTCCCTTCCAATGGCAGCAGCTGCATAGCCCCCAGCACCCAGTGGAGGGTTACCAGTGGTGGGTTTCTGCTCCCACCTACCAGTCCTTAGGTGACACACCTCCATCAGAGAACACATTGATTTCTTCTTTTCATTATTATGTACTGCAGGGAGATCAGGCTGGACCCCACCCCACATGTACAGGTAGTCTCCTACCCGTACAGTGGAGTGTCTGTACCTCTCCACTGGTTGATAGTCTATAGATAACAAGAGGTAACAGTAACTGAATGATACACTAATAGTAACAACACACGAGTCATAATCAAGTATAAACAAAATACTGACCTGGTGCTTTGGCTGCCATTTTTTTTGTTTGGAGGTACAGGTAATGCCCTTCTATGACGTCAGACAATCAAGGTGTGACATTAATAAAATTTTAATACTCAATGAAAAATTAAAACTAATAGGTAATTGAAATAATAATTATTCTACAGATATTGGTAGATGCTGTTTGTCTGTAGCAGACAACGTTCAGTGAGATTCTCTTCTATCCTCAGGTTGAACAGGTTGAGATGCTTCCCATTCTCTTCTCCTTTCTTGTAGTTTCTCTTGATACTGGTCCAGAGGTATTATACTAGTAGACCAATCATTATTACTAGTATATCCTATACAGTAACACAATAATTATTATTATAATCAATTATTTGAGTTAGTAAATAAGCAAATCTACATGTACATGTACTCACTGAGTTCAATAACTGCTGGATCACTTATGATTGTTGAAAAGTTCCTCTTTCCTCCAAACACAATTATCCAGTTAGTGGTTGGAGTCACACTCCAAACTGAGAGACAATGAGAATATCTCTCAGTGACATTGTCTGGTATATTAAC